GCGGGTCTGGGCATGGGCACCGTTGGCGTGCACGAGGCAAGGCCTTGGCTCTGAGTGTGAAATTGTGGTGGTGTGTACAGCTGGTGTGAGGAGGGGGCAGGAGGGGCGGCAGCGGAGTGGCCACCCTGAGGGACCGCTGAGAACATTCGGGCCCTCGTCTTTGCTCAGGTGAGGTGGAGGTAGCAGATTTACCTCTGTCTGTAGCCCAGTAAAGAATGTGGGGCCTGATAGAAAGACTGCATGTGTGACCTGTGGTTCTTCGGCTCAGACGCTGTCAGCCCTGCTCGGAGCCTCCCCCGCCCCTTCATGCTCGCCCTCCAGGAAGGGGGAGAGGAGAGCTGAAAGTGGGGAGCTTGCTGTCACCCATGTAAGGTGTTTGTATCTCGTCTTCCCCAGGGAGGGGGTGAGCTCCTTCCCTTCTCCAAGGGGAATCAGTGGGACTGACAGGCCCCCCAGAACCAGGAGCTTCCCCTGTGGCTTCGGGATGGGATGTGATGGGGGGTAAGGGGTACAAGACCCCACCCCAGGCCAGAGCCCAGGGGCCCACGTGCCCCAGAGGCAGTTGGTACTTCCCCAGGACAAAGAGGAAATTTGCAAAGAGGAAGTTTTTCAGTCAGAGGGCTCAGTGCCTGAGAGACAGGTTGACCTACAGTAAGACAGGTCCTTGGAAAGGGCGGGAGTATGGCTGCCCCGTGGCCCGACCTGGAGGGAAAGATCTGGAAACCGCCTGGGTGCATCTGTTCCCGCGTAGGGCAGGCGGGGGTGCGGGGGGGGAGTCTGGAGGGGAGAGAAGGAACAGAATGTGACCATGGGTCCACACAGCCACCAGGGTTTGTGCCACCTGTGCTTGGTCTGGGGACAGGCTGAGCTGGGACGGAAATGCAGCCCTCACCAGCTAAGCCAGGCACGACCTGGGTTCTTACAGGGCGATGTTTGGACAAGCCTTGGCCCCAGCAGCAGGAGCGAGTCCCCAAAGTCCCCCAGACACACCACAACTGTTGTTTCAGATTTGCTAAACAAAGCGCTCCAATTTCGGTTTAGAAAATACTGTCACAAACTCAGAGGCCATCGGCTCTACCCCCTTTCGATGGACACATGCAGTCACTCTTCTGAACTATTACTGGTTTCTGGGTCCTGGGCGGATCCTGAAGGAAGTGGGGCAGGATAGGTATGGCACCCAATAGGGCTCTCACATCCCAGAAAATAACACAATATGTGAAAAGTGTTCAAATAGAGGTACAGACAAAATTTTATGAGTGTACTGAAAGAAGGGAGCGACGCACTGCTCCTGGGGGAAGGATAGGAGGCTCCACCCAAGGGCTGACTTAGCTCAGAGTCTGATTTCCCGCTGTGCTCTGGGTGGCTATCGTGCCAACAAATGGTGGGTCCTCAGTAAATATTCATTTGAGTGAATGAATGATGCTAAAACTGTGTTCTCAAAACCTAGGCAATGACTTTGAAAAATGTCTATAATATAATGTTAACCTGGGAACAAAAGTTACTTACTAATCTGTAAATATGTATGAATCTAATTTTGTAATGAAAATGCAAAAACATAGGGGTGCCTGGGTGGCTCAGTCGGTTGGACCGACTCTTGATTTCAGCTCAGGTCCTGATTTCAGGGTCATGGGATCAAACCCCATGTCGGACGCCACAGTCAGCGAGGAATCTGCTTGAGGTTCTCTCGTTCTGCCTCTCCCCACCCTCGTATGTTCGAGCTCTCTCTCTCTCAAATAAACAAATAAAAAAAAAAAAAAAGGAAAGGGTGCCTGGGTGGCTCGGTCGTTAAGCGTCTGCCTTCAGCTCAGGTCATTATCCCGGGGTCCTGGGATCGAGCCCCACATCAGGCTTCTTGCTCAGCGGGAAGCCTGCTTCTCCCTCTCCCGCTCCCCCTGCTTGTGTTCCTTCTCTCGTTGTATCTCCCTCTGTCAAATAAATAAATAAAATCTTAAAAAAAATTTTAAATAAAAAAAGGAAAGAAAATGCAAAAACATAGACATTAATAAAAGAAAGATTTGAAGGAAATATCCCAAATGTTTACTGTGGTTATCTATCAGGTGATAGGTTTATGAACGATTTTTATTTTGTTTATACTTTTCTGTATTTCCAAGTTTTATATAATAAATGCCTATCACTTTTACAACTAGAGAACACATTAACAAGAAGGTGTTTGCTGAGGGGATGGGGTGTCTGGTTCAAGGAGAGGGGGCTGGAAGAGCAGGTTGGAGCCCCACTGTGAAGGGCAAGGGAGTTTGAATTCAGTTCTGAAAGAAGTGGGGAGTTTACCAAACCTAAGTCTGTTCTAGGCTTTTCCAAGTCTTCTCAGAACCATCAGGAACCCCCACTCCTTCCTGTCCTTTCTTCTTGGGTGCCAAGTTCCTCTGACCCTTCTTCCATAGTCCCTTGAAGCCATTCCTTCTCCCAGGTCCTAACACACCTTGCCTGGGTCCTGCCCGGTCTTCTCTTTGGGCTTCTTGACCCCAATCACTTCCATCTTCTGCCCAGTGACCCTTCTAAAAGGCCAATTTGTCCAGATTATCCTTGCACCTCTTGCGGCAGTCGAGATAGAGCCCTAGCCTGCATGATGAGACCCGTTTAGGATCTGGACTCTTCCTGGTCAGTCCTTGGTGCAAACACTATGCCCTCCAGTCTCATCAAATTCCTGGTAACTCCCTGAATATGACATATGATTTTCTTGATGTGTGTGTGTGTTGGGGGGGGAGTATAGTTTAAAATGCTAAAAATATTTATTCTGTCCAGACAGTAAAAAGTACACATTAAGATTATGCTTACAAATAAAGCTTTGTCATACAAAATGAAAATTCCAGATGGTAAAAGGATTTAGATAGAGAAGGTCTTGAGAAATCTATTAATGCGATTCATTTTGCAGACAGAAAAAGAGCCTCCAAGCATGACCCTAAGGACATTTCATTTCTGAAAATGGATATTTACACGTAGTCGTCCTCTGCATCCCTATTTCTGACCCCGGACCATGTTCAGTTTGGCAGGCAGAACCTGTGAAGGGTGGGCTGCAAGCGGAGGGGAACACCTGTCGGTTCTGAGTCCTCCAAGCCCTTGGGCTGAGGGAATGGGAAACAGACCCCCATCTCTGAGCCCCGAAGCTCAGCAACCATGCCTGGAGGCAGATGAAGCTGGAACTGTCAACAAAATAAGAGAGGAATATAATCAGAAGGTTCTAAGATTCCCAAAGTAGTGGCAAGAGCTGACCCAGCCAAAAGTAGAGAGAAAACTTTCAAACTCTAAGAAGGTATTGCTTGAGTATCCTACATGGTGGGTGGCTGTCCTGTTTTGGGGGAGGTTCGGGGTAGAACCGTTGGACAGAAGAAGCCCAGGGTACTGTGAAGACAATCTATTTGCTCCAGACAATGAGCTGCAAATGGACGCCTGTGTGCCTCGGTTTCCTCGGGTGCTCAGTACCTGCTTGCCGAGTCTGTGGCGTCTGGACGGCCCAGCTAGACTATGGGCCAGATCCATCCCAGGAAGTTGGCCACTAAGAGAGCCACTTACTCAGTCTTACATTTGTAGGTGCTCTGCCTGAAGCCAGCCCACGCCCAGCTTGCCCCAGACACACATATCTTGATTTCCCGCCAGACTCCTCAACCGTCAAGATTCAGCTCAAATGTCACGGCCTTTGTGAAGCTGCCCTTGCAGGTTCCAGCCCAATAGACACAGCATTTCTTCCACAGGGTGTCGTGTGGGCTGTAACACAATTACAGCACAACTGGGCTGTAATTACGTGAAGGTGTCCCTCACTCATTAGAGTGGAGCCCCTCCAAATCCATGGGTCATCTTTGCGGTTTCAGAGTCCAGGGCCTGGCACTCAGTAGCCACCCAATATGTGTTTACTGAATGGAGGGATAAAGGAATTAATGAATGAACAAATGATGGCTTTAATTAAACTTGTGGCAAGCTTAGATCTGTGGGGTTTTTTTTAAAGATTTTATTCATTTATTTATTTAGAGAGAGAGAATGCACACACACTCAAGTGGGGAGGGGCAGAGGGAGAGGGAGAGAGAATCCCAAGCAAGTTCCACACCCAGCATGGAGCCTGATGTAGGGCCCAGTCCCACAACACCGAGATCACGACCTGAGCCGAAACCAAGTGTCTGATGCTCAACTGACTGAGCCACCCAGGTGCCCCTTGGATCTCTTTTGAGTGAACTTAGCATCCAGGAGGATGGCCTGAAGGTAATATAGCCCAAGGTGAGAGCATTATTCTAGTACAATTTGGATATAGTGGGGGCCTGACTTAAGGGGAAAAAGAAGGTCAAGTTTGAAATACACTTTTTCAGAAAATCAGATTTTAGACCTAATTGGCTATTGGCTGATGGAGGGAAGAATGAGGTTAGGCTTCAAGATTTCTATCTTGGGAGGTGGAGGAGATACAGATGGCATTATGTAGAAATGCAGAGAGATGAGCAGTTTAAGGGGAGAACATAATGAGTTCATTTTTAGAACTTGGGAGGGAAGTCAGAGCTAGAGAGAGATTTGAGGGTCATCTGATTTTAGATAGCAATTTAAATAATGGCATCAAACTGGGCACCTGGGTGGCTCAGTCGGTTAAGCATCTGCCTTCAGCTCAGGTCATGATCCCAGGGTCCTGGAATCGAGCCCCACATCGGGCTCCCTGCCTAGCTGGAAGCCTGCTTCTCCCTCTCCCACTCCCCCTGCTTGTGTTCCCTCTCTCACTATAATTCTCTCTGTCAAATAGATAAATAAAATCTTTAAAATAAATAAATAAATACATAAATACACAAATAAATACATAAATGAATAATGGCATCGTTGGATAAACTATGTCATTCACTGTGCAGCATGAGAAGGCAGCTGTGAGAGAATCTCAGGAGTTAACCAGAGCAGGCTAGCTGCTGTAACAAATAACCCCCAAATCTCAGGGGTATAACTCAGGATAAGTGTAACAGTCCAATGCTGGTATTGGAATGTGGCCTTCCATAAGGTCATTCAGGGACTCAGGCTCCTTCCATTTTGTGGCTCTGCCATTCCCAGGGGGGAGAGAGGGCCACATCACAAGGAACGCTTTCAAGGTCTGGAAGTGGCGGTATCACTTTTGCTCACATTCCATTGGACAGAATTCAGTCACGTGGTGGCCTCAGTGCAAAGGAGGCTGGGAAATGTAGTTTAGCTGTGTGCCGAGGAGGAAAAAGAGAAACAGTCCCACCGCACAGAGGGAACACCGAAATGTGAGGTTGGATGTAGGAAGAAAGACTTGGAAGAGACAGAAAAGAGCCTTTAAGAGAGAAACCGGGATAAAAATGGCATCTAGGAGAAAATAGTTTGGGGGCCTGGACGAGATTGAAGCAAGCAAGGTTCCAGGTGCAAGGTGGACCTTGGGAAGAGGAGTTAAAGGAAAGGAAGTGTTGATTTTCTACCCTGTCACTCACAGAGTTTTCTCACTTGATTATCAGTTGAACCCATGAGGGAGGAATTATCCCATTTTACAGCTAAGGAAACTGAGGTGCAGAAAAAGGTAAAAAGGTATTCAAGATCAGAAAGGATGGAATTGGGGTCTGAACCCAGGACTAAGGCCCATGATCCTCCCAGTGCACCCATCAAAGGAGCCTTCCAGCTGACACCAGCAGCCTCACAGACTGCAAAAGCCTGGGTGTGTGGAGGGAACTGGGTCTTTGGTTCAGGGAAGAGAGGACTTGGAGTTAGACAAGCCAGAGTTCCTCCTGTGCTGTGTAGAAAGCGAAAGGAGAAGGTACATCCAGCCCCCAGGGGTCCTGGGAGAGGGCAGGAAGGAGCTCCAGAGAACCAGAGAAGGGCTGGCTAGACCGGCCCCTTCCTCCTTCCTCTGGCAGCCCCACCCCCACTCTGGCCCCTGCGAACACAGGATCTGAGCAGCGGACACACCAGCACTGCACCTCCGAGCCGGCATGGACCCTGAAGGTAAGGGAGCCGCCCAGGCCTCTCCTCTCTGTCCCTGCATCACCATCTCCCCTATCCTGACTCCCTCCCAGTCCCAAGTAATCTCAGTACCTTACCCCCCACCCCGTCCCCCACTACCGAAGACCCATGCTCATCCCTCCCATCTACTATTGCCCTCCAACCTCTCTGAACCCCAAGCACCACTTCTGTCTCCGGAAAGCCTCTTCTTTCTCTTTCTATAGTCCCCAGCGAGTTCTGGGGAGAAAGGGGCTTGAGCCCCAGGAAAAGTAAGGTCCGGGTGGTCCGGAGGAGGCCATGGCTGGGGAGCAGCTCTGGACTTCGCCCCTTGCTAGCAGGCGGGGAGGAGGGGAGGCAAAGTCCTGTCCCTTCTGCAGCCCGGTGGGGGAGGGGGCTCGAGCCCAGTGACTCTGCCTGGGGTGGGGGTGATGTCGCTAAGGAGGTCCTGTGCGTGATGATAGGGGTCAGGCTCTGGAGTCAAAGGCTCCTGTTTGAATCTGGGCTCCACCAGGAATAGGCTGTGTGACCTCAGGCAAGTCACCTGACTTCTCAGAGCCTCATCTCTGTGCACGTGTAAAATGACAGTTCTAGTTCCCAGCTCACAGGGCTGTAGGGAGGGCAAATGACAGACTCATGGAAGCTCTCTGGCCAGTGCCTGGAGGACAGGCAGCTCCTTCCTGAGCTCTCTGCATTTTCCCTTTCCCCTCCCTGGGCTGCTTCTTCCCCAGCTCTGACCTGCCTCTCCTGCGTTGGGGCTTCTATGGGCCCCACACACCTAGCACTTCTGGCTGGGCTGTGGAACCAGCTTTTGAGGGCGGGGAGGGGCCTAACCAGCTTTTGGCTTAGAAATGACCTCAGAGTCAGAGGCTGGGCTCAAGTCCCATCCCTGCCACCTGCTTGCTGTGTGACCTTGGACAAGACGCTTGTCCTCACTGTGCTTCGGTTTCCTCAGGGATGAAGTGAAAACGTTGCCTCCCCCTTGGGTCGGGGGGAGGGCTGAGTGACACAGTAGGAATAAAGTGCCTGCTACGCAGAAAGCCCTCGGTGTGGTTATGCTGGTGCTGGTGCGGACTCCCCACACCTGGCTCTCCAGCTCTGAGCGCTCCCCAGGCCCCCCTTCCATGTCTGGAAGGCTTGCATGTTCATCTCCACCCGGACATCTCCCTGGCACGTCAGACTCAAAGACCTCCCCCCGGATCCGCTCCATTTCTGTTCCTGCCTCACCATCCTCCCACTCGGCCTGGAAACCTCAGGGTCATCTTTGATGACTCATTCTTTTAAAAAATATATGTACTGGGCGCCTGGGTGGCTCAGTTGGTTAAGCGACTGCCTTTGGCTCAGGTCATGATCCTGGAGTCCCGGGATCGAGTCCCGCATCGGGCTCCCTGCTCAGCGGGGAGTCTGCTTCTCCCTCTGACCCTCTTCCCTCTTGTGCTCTCTATCTCTCTTCTCTCTCTATCAAATAAATAAATAAAATCTTTAAAAAAAAATAAATAAAATTCTGTAGATCGTTTTACCACCTGTGTGACGGGTAATCCTGTTGGGCCCTCTTTGGAGGTCATTTCTCTTCTCTAGGGAGAGAAGGGGATAAGAAAAGAACTTTAGCTGGAAGCTTCTGTGCTCACCAGCCTCTGTCTCCATCTGGTGTTAGCCAAATGGATCAACAAATAAATAAATAGCTGGAAGAACAAGATAGCAGGGTCGCGCCCCGGGGTTCAGAGACATCTGGGCAGGCACTGCTAGTCACCTCTTTCCCTCCTCGTTGCGGCCCTGTGATCTCTTTCCTTTCCTTTTTAAAAAAATTGTATCTATTTATTTGACAGTGAGAGAGACCGAGCGTGTGAGTTGCAAGCAGAGGGAGAGGGAGAAGCGGACTCCCTGCCAAGCAGGGAGCCTGATGCGGGGCTGGGTCCCAGGGTCCTGGGATCATGACCTGAACTGAAGGCAGACGCTTTTTTTTTTTTTAAGATTTTATTTATTTATTCATAAGAGACACAGACAGAGAGAAGCAGACTCCCCACTGAGCAGGGAGCCCGATGCGGGACTCAATCCCAGGAGCCTGGGATCATGACCTGAGCCGAAGGCAGATGCTTAACCCACTGAGCCACCCAGGCGCCCCCGAAGGCAGACCCTTAACCCAGCCACCCAGCGTCCCAATCTTTTTCCTTCCCTTCCCTTCCCTTCCTTTCCCTTCCCTTCCCTTCCTTTTCTCTTTTGTCTCCTCTCCTCTCCTCTCCCCTCCTTTTCTCATCCCTTCTCATCCAAAATCTGTTTATTGGATAGTTTCCCATTCATCTTGATTCGGGATGCTTTTAGTGCTGCTTGGGTCTGAAGGAACATCCCTCCGAAAGCCTTGCTTTTCCTCCTGTGGATTGGCAGAGGACAGTGGAGCAGTGAGCTCACAAAAGTATGGTTCGTGGCTAAAGACGGCGGTGATTGGAGCATCCGGGCACTTCACGTCCATGAAGGACCAGTTAGCGCTAGGCCAGGCGCTGCTTCTTTTCCCCTCTTCTCCTCTTCCCGGGCCCCGGAGGGGTGCAGGAGGTCCATCGCGAGGGGCATGTTCTCGTGGGGAGGCCGTCACTGCAGGAAATCCCTGGATTGCTGCATGAAACTGGCCCTTAGAGAGGTTAGTTAGCAAGGCGCCTGGGTTCACTCAGCGGGCAGGTGGTGGAGTCCGATTCCAACCCAGGTGTTTCTGACTCCCAGATGTTCCTACTACCCCAGGGGCCAGAGCCCTGGAACCGTGGGTGTGGTTTGCAGAACTCTGCCAATGTTGACCTGATAAGCACATAGCAATTTAAAAATATCACTTAGGGCTAGATGATGGTGGCGGGCTGGGGTGGGGTCAATGAGGGGACTCTGGGGCCATCCTGCCTGAGTTCGTGACCCTCACTCCACACTTCCCAGCTGTGTGAACTGCAGGTGTGTTGTGTGGCCTGTCTGTGCCTCAGCTTCCTCATCTGTAAAATGGGGAAAATAATGGGCCCTACCTCATAGGGTTGTTGTGAGGATCAAGTGTGTCAATACATATAAAATGCTTGGCACGGCTCATCAGAAGGACCACAAAAGTGTCAGCTGCTGTTTGTTTGTTTGTTTGTTTGGCTAACCTCTACCCCCAGTGTGGGGCTCAAACTCAAGACCCGGATCGAGAGTCGCACACCCCAACTGAGCCAGCCAGGCGCCCCCATGTCAGCCATTATTATGATTAGACAATATGTCATTCCAGAGTCTATCCTAGATGAATGGTAGTGGGCACCAGTTTTAAGAAAAATTTACGAAGGCGAAATCTTTAAAATGGACAACTTCTTTTTTTTTTAAGACCTTATTTATTTATTTGAGAGAAAGAATGAGAGAGAGAGAGCACATGAGAGGGGGGAGGGTCAGAGGGAGAAGCAGACTCCCCGCCGAGCAGGGAGCCTGACGCGGGACTCGATCCCGGGACTCCAGGATCATGACCTGAGCCGAAGGCAGTCGCTTAACCAACTGAGCCACCCAGGCGCCCTAAAATGGACAACTTCTAAGTTATTTTTTTTCATGTAAATTGGGGAGAACCATCTTTTTTTTTTAAATAAAGTTTATTTAATTTTAGTAATCTCTACACCCACCATGGGGCTCAAACTCAGGACCCCAAGATCAAGAGTTGCACACTGCACCGACTGAGCCTCCCAGGCACCCCCTGCCTGACTTGGTTTTAGCTGGGACACATACCAGCCGCGTAGTTGCAAGCACAGGCCATATCATTACACACAAAAGGAAGAGCAAACACTTGTTACTCATCTTCAGTGCACTCACAGAGCCTTCATTTGTGCCCATGCATCCCAGACAGCAACAAGGTAAGTGAGGGATGTAAAGAGGAAGGCGTGGGGGCTCTGATTCTGGCCCAGTCCCTCACGGCCCTGAGCCACCATCCAGTGAAGGCCACATAGAAACACAGTAAACATCAGCCAACCATCCAGACGAGAACAGCAGAAGTGCCCATGGGGGAAATCTTCCTATATTCTGCCAGGGTCATCACTTTATCTGTTTTTTACATAACTTGTAAAGAAAGAAGTGCAGGGCCTAGCTGGCTCAGTCAGAAGAGCATGCCCTTCTTCATCTCGGGGTCATGAGTTTGAGCCCCACGTTAGGGGTAGAGATTACTTAGATAGAGATTTTATTTATTTATTTGACAGAGAGAGAGAGAGGGAGAGAGGGAACACAAGCAGGGGGAGCGGCAGAGGGAGAAGCAGGCTCCCCACTGAGCAGGGAGCCCGATGTGGGGCTCGATCCCAGGACCCTGGGATCATGACCTGAGCTGAAGGCAGACACTTAACCGACTGAGCCACCCAGGTGCCCCAAGATTACTTAGGTAAATAAAACTTTAAAAGAAAGAAAAAAAGTGCAAGAAATATCCCAAGATGCTTTGTTTCCTCTCAGAAACAGGGATGCCAATTTCTTAAATTTTATTTAAATCCGGGTAGCTCAGATGGTTAGGCGTCTGCCTTCGGCTCAGGTCATGATCCTAGGGTCCTGGGATCCAGCCCCGCATCAGGCTCCTGGCTCAGCGGGGAGCCTGCTTCTCCCTCTCCCTCTGCCTCTCCCCCTGCTCATGCTCTCTCTCTCCCTCTGTATCCCTGTGTCTCGAATAAATAAAATCTTTAAAAAAAATTGTTTTATTTAAATTCAATTTAGTTAACATATAGTGTATTATGAGTTTCAGGGGTAGAATTTAGTGATTCATCAGTTGCATATAACACCCAGTGCTCATTATATCACGTGTCCTTCTTAATGCCCATCACCCAGTTACCCCATCCTCCCATGCACCTCCCCTCCAGTAACCTCAGTTTGTTCTCTGTAGTTAAGAGTCTCTTCTGGGGGCGCCTGGGTGGCTCAGTCAATTAAGTGTCTGCCTTCAGCTCAGGTCATGATTCCAGGGTCCTGGGATCGAGCCCCATGTCAGGCTCTCTGCTCAGTGGGGAGCCTGCTTCTCCCTCTCTCTCTGTCTGCCACTCTGCCTACTT